TGACATTGGGAGCAGGCCCGCGGGATGGGTGACGGCGGCCCCCTTTTTCAACGTCAACGTTTGGGGGGGATCCGTTTCTTTGGGCGCCGCTTGTTGTTTGGCCGCCGGGGGGGCGCCCCCCCTCCTCCGGTAGCAGGGGGGGAGTGTGGTAACACCCCACACGGCCCTCCGCGCCTCTCACCGCGCCTCCTTCGCTCCCCGCCAGGTCCTCTCCCTCCTCGCCGCCGCAGCGCTCGCCGACTCCTATGCCCGCCTCGGGCTGCTCTCGGCAGCAGCTGCGGTCGGCTGGGCTTTGTTCGCCGTCCTAGATGCAGGCTGAAAACACGTCCCTGCGCCGACCACTCCCCCCCCCCCCCCCCTTCCACCCTCCCCACACCCCTTGACGCTGGCGTGCTCAGGTTCGCTGTCAGCCGCGGGGCGGCCGTCGGCCCCGACGCCGCAGCGCTCGGCCCGCTCGCTCTCGACGGGCTCGCCACGGCGAGCGCAGCCGTCGCCGCCGCCGTCGCAGTCTCGATTGCGGTGCGCGGTGCGCAGCATCTCCGCACCACCCCGACGCTCGCCGACATGGTGGAGGAGTAAGGAAGCCCTGCCCTAGCGAAAATTTTTCACAATATCGCAACCGCGATACCGCGCGATATTTGGCGATAAAATGCGATAAATGGCGATGTTGTGCGATGCTCGCGATCACGCGAGCCCTTCACAGCACGCCTCAGCGACGCGCGTGAAGCGTTACACGTGTCAGTCCTGGGCGCCGAAAGTGCGAGAGAGGTGCGGGTGGGCGGCGGGAAAGCGCTTAGGGTACCCCTAGGGTTCTGAGGGCCGGATTGTTTTAAGACCTTTTAAGAAATGAGGAGGTTTGGGGGCTCAAATTGTCATTTAAGAGATTGCAGGCACGGGGGGTCTCTCTTTTAAGTCCGTTTAAGAAAATCGGCCTCGCCGGCATGCGTCGCCGGGTTCCGCGCCGGTTTCTCCAATACTGCCGTTATTAGGCACGAACCCGCCACTGAAGACACATCTGTAAGTCTGGTGCACTGGCGGGAGCCATACTCGCATAGGGGACGCGTGCCAGCTGACTGTAGCCAGCTTCCCGGCCTCCGGCGTCTACCGGGGAGCCTCCCGGACCATCGACCTCGGGAGCTCTCCCGCACCGTTTAAGCGTTTAAGACCGTTTAAGGAATCGGCGGCCCAGCAGCTCTTAAAACCTGCCATGGCAGGTTTTAAGCCGTTTAAGCCGCAGGCGCCCCAGGGCCCACCCTTTTAAGCCTAGGGGTACCCTAAGGGAAAGCGCGACCGGAAAACAAAGAAATGCTCGGAGCGTCACCGTCACCGCCGCCGGGGCGAGGGTGCGCGATATTGCGCGATATTGCGCGATATTGCGCGATATTGCGCGATATTGCGCGATATTAGGCGATACTCGGCGATCATTCACGATATACAGAAAATTTCCGCTAGAGCAGGGATTAAGGTAGCTGCAATCTCTTGCCGCGAAAGTTTCGCGTCAGTCGACGTTCCGCGCTGTGTGTCGCGCCTGAGCTCGCCCTTGGCGCCCGAGGCTACCCGGGACCGACAGACAGCATCAAAGGACGCGCTAGATGTGCTTGTGACCGGCGCGTCTCTCTTGACCGGCACGAGCAGTGCTGTGTGCGGCGCTCGCCACCCCGGCGATTGTGCTGCGACGGCGGACGGCGTGGTTGCTCAGATGGCCTTATGACGACCCCGTTTCGACATCGTCCCTAAGGCCTCTGCTCATGAGCTCCATGCGGGAATCCCACGATATCTCACAAAGCGCCAAAATTCTTCCTCGTGACAGCATAATTTCAGTTGGTTGAGCCAGTCATTCCCGCGTGGAGCTCATGAGCAGAGGCCTTGGGGACGATGCCGAAACGGGGTCGTCATAAGGCCATCTCAGTGGCTACACGGCCTGCCACGGCGTGTGTGCCACGACTCTGGACGACTCTGAACTGGCGCTTGATGCGGGCATAACTTGCGATCCCGACCTTGCGCGATGAGCCTATGAGTGCATTCTACCATCTACTCGCACATGGCAAGCATGGGCGACGCCTCAGGCCCCATGCCGGCCATCCAAGATATGCGTGCGCCAAGGGTTTGCTACCGGCTTAACCCTTTCGCTTCATAAGGTTCCTGGAGAACAAATCTCGATATATCTCCAGTCGTAGCGGTGGAACTAACCCTTTTTTTTGGCTCGGTCAATTATTTAGCCATATATGAGAGGATCACGGCACAGTGTCGTTTGAGTCGACAGTAAATCTCCCACAGCCCACGTAAATCCGTCTTTTCAGGCACCCGGAGCCCGCCGCGGCCGCTTCTACGCCGGCGAATCACCATCAAGCTGCTATACGGCCCCGGCATCGCCTCCCCTGGCTTAGCTCTCAGTCAAGATATTGTGCACATGAGTGGCCTCTACAATATACTCACTGACACTGAACCTCCCAGAGCTCGTCCCGGTCCGTCACGGCCATCCTCGTCCTCCGGCGGGCCCCCGGCCGCGGCGCGGTGCGGCGGCGTCACAAATCCGACCACAGAGCACCGGGACGCGGTCGGGCGATCTGAGGCCCAAGTAGGCGAATGCATTGCCCATCCAGGGCTATCACCTGGACCTATCAACAGGCGCCTGCGGCGCCGTGCTCAGGAGTTGGTTTTCACTCGCTCGAAATGTGTGGCGCAAAGCACTTGGAGCGCCAGAGGAATTCTTTTCCTCGCGATGTCCACCCCGCCGCGCCGCCGCTCGCGCCGCCCCGCCGCCGCCTCCACCGCCGCGCCCTCGCCAGACACGCCGCCGCCCACCCGCCTCCTCGACCTCCCCACGGAGCTCCTCACGCGCGCCCTCTCTCGCTGCGACCCCGCCGACATCGCTCGCGTCGCAGCCGTCTCGCTCCTCTTCCACGCCTCGCTTGCGCTAGAGGGCATCCGCTTGTGGGCGCAAGAGCGCGGCTTCGAGCTGCCGGCGCAGCCAGAGGACGAGAGCTGCGCCGTGCGGTGGCTGTGCTTTGCGGCGTTGCTGTGCGAGCACAACCCGCCGGCGAGGGCGGCCGCGGGCGGTCGGCACAGCATCTTCATCGACGGCGAGGGGCGGCTCTCGTCGTGCGGCTGTGCAGACGGCGGCTCTTTCTACTTCCGTGCGGCGCTTGCCCTGCTCGGTCACGGCGAGGGGGTGACGCGGCTCAACACGCCGACCCGCCTCCCCTCCACGCTGGGTGGCGAGCGCGCCATGAGCGTGTCGGCGTCTGGAGCTGGGGCGCACAGCCTCGCCCTCACCGCCGACGGCGTCTGGAGCTGGGGCAGTGGAGCCCTTGGCCAGTTGGGCCACGATGACGAGCAGTTCCGGTGGCAGCCAAAGAAGATCGAGGCCTTTGCCGGCCAGCGCGTCGTCGCTGTGTCGGCGGGAACCGGCCACAGCATCGCCATCTCCGCCGACCGCGCCGTCTGGAGCTGGGGCTATGGAGCCTGCGGCCAGCTGGGCCACGGCGACGAGCAGCAGCAGCTGCTGCCCAAGAAGGTCGAGGCCTTTGCTGATCAGCGCGTCGTCGCTGTCTCGGCGGGGAGCGGCCACAGCCTCGCCATCACCGCCGACGGAGCTCTCTGGAGCTGGGGCCGTGGAATTCTTGGCATGTTGGGCCACGGCGATGAGCAGTACCAGCTGCTGCCCAAGAAGATCGAGGCCTTGGCTGGCCGGCGCGTCGTCGCTGTGTCGGCTGGACTTCACCACAGCCTCGCCATCACCGCCGACGGCGCCCTTTGGTCCTGGGGCTTTGGAGGGGATGGCCAGCTGGGCCACGGCGACGATCAGAACCAGCTGCTGCCCAAGAAGGTCGAGGCCTTGGCTGGGCAGCGCGTCGTCACCGTGTCGGCAGGAGAGTACCACAACCTCGCAATCACCGCCGACGGAGCTGTCTGGAGCTGGGGCGATGGAGGCCAAGGCCAGCTGGGCCATGGCGACGATCAGAACCAGCTGCTGCCCAAGAAGGTCGAGGCCTTTGCTGGCCGGTGTGTCGTCGCTGTGTCGGCTGGACCAAGGCACAGCCTCGCCATCACTGCCGATGACGCCGTCTTCGCCTGGGGAAAGGGCGTGCGCGGCTGCCTAGGCCACGGCGACGACCTGTCGAACCAGCTGCTGCCCAAGAAGATCGAGGCGTGGGGTCTGGGGAAGTGAGGGGGACGACAAGTTTGCGCAAGTTTGTCCCATTCTCAGCCGGTGCCGTTCCGAAGGTGCCGAAAAGCCGCCCGCAGCGTCCTGGCATGCACACGCCGTGGCGGCTCGCTTCGCTGCTTTGCATCGCCGTTCAGTTGTCGAGTGTCTGGCACCTCCATTATGTGAACACACGAGATTATAGCTGGCGCGTGGGGTGTGTGGCACGCAGACTGTGCTCTGTGGCCCGGGGTGGCGTGTCCCAGTCCGGTCTTTCTGCGTATGTGACTTGTGAGCGCGTGGTCGCACCGTGGTACAAAAAATAGGTACTGATACAAGTGTCTCGTAACATGCCGGTTGCCCCGCGCTCTGAGGTGCAGGGCCCGCCAGCGGGGCTTGCGCCTGGCCACAGCGCCCTCTCTCGTTTGTCGTTTACCACTCGTAATATACACATAATAGCACACAAAGTCACATACGAAACGTCTCAACGTAATACTACACAGGACCGCCACGCGGACGTGCCGATCTTGCTTGCGCACACGCACCGTCCCCCGCGTGTGCCCCCTCAACTTCGAGGCGCAGGGGGCTAGCACGTGCGGGTGCAGTCCTCCTTCGAGAGGCTGCCCAGCTCGCTCTTGACGCACTTGCGGAGCAGCTTGTGGCAGGCATACGTGTTCCCGCAGTCGCACCGGCCTCCAAAGTAGCTCTCCTTGGAGAAGGAGCAGCGCGGCTCGGCCGTGCCTCGCACGGCGGCGAGCAGCGCGTTGTACACGAGGCAGAGCGTGTCGGAGGGCGCCGTCTGCGAGTCCGTCTCGATGCTCGTGCCGATGGAGACGGCGGCGTCGATGGCGGGGAAGTAGGCGGCGATGGAGTCGTACCCGTACCTACGGGGAAGGTTCCAGGCAAGTTCCGGGAAGGTTCCAGGTAGGCGGCGGTGGAGGGGCGGCAGACGGGCTCACGTCGCCCCGAGGTGGCCGTAGGAGACAGCATACGGGCTGAGGGAGGACTGGCCCGTCACGCCCATGATGCTCAGGTTGAAGGTTGCCAGGCCTACACTCACGCAGTCACGCCCGCGCTCACGCCAGCCACGCCCCCCTCCCCCTGCGCCGGTCGGCTCTAGAGGCGTGTGCTGCCGTAGATGTCTTCCATCCGGTGGCTGTCCGCGTCGGACCTCGCGCCGAGCCGGCCCCTCGCCGCCTCGAGGCGGCGCGAGGCGGCCGAGGCGACGCGGCCGCCACTCAGGGGCGGCGCGCCCCGCGCCCAATCGCTCTGCCCCCCTCCCGCCGCGTCTCTGGCGCCGGGGATCATCTCGTCGACGTACTGGCGAGCGAGCAGCCGCGGGCCGCTGGCGCCGAAGAGATCGTACACGAGCCTCGCCACCTGCAGCCGTGGTCCGAGCAGCCTCAGGGGACGGCCCCCGCGCCGAACACAGTGCCACGCGCCAGTCGCGCCACCGACGCCGGGGGAGCGACGATGTCAGACGCGGTCCAGCCTCCGAAGACGCCTGTGGGAAAGGGGGCGGGCCACGTCGGGACTGGGGGGGGGGGGGGGTGCGCTCTCTCATACGCCCACACGCGGCAACAGACAAGCCACGTCCGACAGGAGTCACCTGTAGCTCGCCTGAATCTCGGCTGCGTCTCGCCTGCATCTCGGCTGCGTCTCGCCTGCGTCTCGGCCGGATCTCGGCTAGATCTCGCCTGCATCTCGGCCGGATCTCGGCTGGACCTCGGCCGGATCTCGGCTGGATCTCGGCTAGGTGTCGGACCGGCCACGTCAGAGACGTCGACGCCGGGCCTCGCCGAGGCGTTTGCGCCGTTGTACGAGGTGCGGTCGAAGCCGCGGACAGCGCCGTGGGCGGCGGGGGTGCCGTGGGAGGCGAAGTCGAGAGCGTACGACGAGCGGCGCTGCGCGGGGAGGGGAGAGAGGAGGGCCGCCTGGCCGTACGCGTCCCACCTTGTCGCGTTGGAGAGCCGCGCGAGCAGCAGGCCGGCGAGCACAAAGTTGGTCGACGAGTACGCCCAGTGCGCGCCTGGCTCGAACTCGAGCTTCCCCTTGCGCACGTACGAGAGGTTGAGGAGCCGCGCGGGAGGCCACTCGGCCGCCTACACGGGAGGTGAGAAGGTCCGTGGGCTGCTAGAGAGAGGCGCGCGGGAGACAAGGGCTCGGCTGCCGGCTGAGCGTAGACGGCCTTGCGAAAGGCGTCTGTGGGTGGCGGCGGGTAGGGCGTCGCTGTGTCGTAGTCGGGGATCCCAGACTTCATGGCGAGCAGGTGCTCGAGCGTGATTGAGTCCGCCCGTGGACCAAACAGCACGTGCATCCGACCGAGGCCCTCGCGGACCAGCAGCGGGTCGATGAGCGGCGCCACCGGCGTATCCAGCGAGATGCGGCGCGCAGCGACCTGCTGCATCAGCGCCGCGCCGGTTGCAAGCTTGGTGACCGAGCCCCACGCGAAAGATCCGTCGTTGCCGGCGGACACCACCAGACCAGCACCAGTCTCCACGGCGATCCCGATGGAGCAGTTGTAAAGCGCCTGCTTTTCCACCGCAATCTCCTGCAGCCGCTTCTGCAGCGCGGCGGCAGCGCTGGCGGTGCCGGCGGCGCTGCCGGCGGCCAGCGACGCACCGAGGACAACCAAGCAGGTCCTGCTGGCAGAGAGAGCAGGCATGAGTCCGGTCGACTAGGGTTGCGCAGCAACAGGAGCGAGTTCGCGCTGCGCTAGGCTCAAGCCGGACAGCCCCTTATTCGGCGAAAAAGAGAAAAAAAAGAAAAATTCGCAACGAAATTCTTTTACGTGCATGAGGCACCGTACATGAGCCGGTGGCGGCGCTTGGACAAATGTGAGACCCAACGCGACCCTAAGGAAAATTAGGCGCGGAGCACCGGCAACGCAGTGGCAAGCAAACCGTTAAATTTGCCGGGAGGTCTGATATTTGGGTCTCGGATTTCAAGATTAGAGACCCCTGGAGAGCTAACGAAGTGGCAAAAACAGGCTCTTACACTCGTTTGCTCGCTCTCGAGGTCTCGGCAGCCGAATTGAAGGGGGGGAAGGAAATGTGGCCTGTTCGAGCTGGTCGAGCCTCGCGAGCCTCCCACAGCTCGTGGCTAGCCAAGCCTCGCCTCCCGCTCGTCTCCAGCCGCTCGCTGTCGGCCGCGGTTGCCAAGCCTCGCCTCCCGTTCGAGGGCGTCCGCGTGCTCGAGAAGGCAAACCTGCTCTCCGGTCGACTAACGGGTCTCCTTTTCGCCGATCAGGGCGCCGAGGTCCTTGTCATCGACCCAAAGGAGGGTGGCAGCGTTGACTCGTACCTCAACCGCAACAAGATCGCAGTTCGCGCCTCTGACGTCGAGCCGTCCTCAGCCGACATCATCCTCGTCGACGGAGCCGACGCCTCGCTCGCGCGCCTGCCTCACCAGGTTCTGATGCGCACCGTCGCCGCGCTGCCGGGCGACGAGCGGTTCGGCCACCTGCCTGACGACGTCGACGAGGACTACCTGAGCGCGCTCACCGGCCTCGTCCACGTCACTGGCATTCGGGCAGTGATCTGCGCCTCTTCACGCCTCTGGCGCTGAACAGGCTTCTTCACGGACATGGACATGATGGGCTGGCTCGACCGGCCAGTGACGTACACGCCGCTCCAGCTCTGCTCCATCTACGCGGGCGTGATTGGGGCGAACGCCTGCGCGGCGGCGCTGCTCGACCGCCTCCGGTGCGGGCAGGGGCGCGAGATCCACGCCTCTCGTATCGCGGGCGGGCTCTCCGCCATCGGAGCGGCTTCTCCTTTGCGACGTGGGGGATGGCTGTGGACGGCGCCTCTTAGCACCCGCCGCTGTGGACAGGTGCCCTGTGCCTCAAGCAGCGAGGCCTGCCTCCCCATCTCGACCCAGTGCCAGCTATCTACAAGAGCACGGTCCTCGCTTCTCGTCAAGTGTAAGGGCGCTTTACTGTACCCCATTATGAGCCACACCCGCCCAACCCTAGGCGGACATCCTCGCCAAGCGGAGAGGGATCGAGCCATCGGAGCTGGACGCGTACAAGCAGGCTGCCATCTCGGACCCGGCGAAGCAGGCAGCTTGGCTGGCCCTCGTTGCCGTGAAGAGCTCTTCACAGCTGGCCTGAGGTGCCTCTCTGTGTGGGGAGCAGGCGTGGCTCTTCCAGCGGCTCTACCCCTTCATGGCCCCTTACAAGTGCAGCGACGGCGAGTTTGGCCATACCTCGCCATACCTCGGCCACACTTTGGCCACACCTCGGCCACACTTCGGCCACAACTCGGCCACGCCTCGGCCGTATCAGGCGAGTGGATTCTTCCTATGGCGACCTTCAACCGGCGCCTCGCGACGGGCCACCGCCGCTCTGCCTCCGCTCTCCGCGCTGCGAGCGCCGCGCTCTTCACAGCTGCGGCTGTGAACAGGCTACTGTGCGTACCTTGGCTTTGCCGACGACGTGTCCGCCTTCGGCATCGTCGACAGAGACCCGTACGACCCCGCCTCCGCCCCGTTCGACGACCGCAACCTCGCGCTGCCGATCGGCTTCAACTTCCCGTCATCCTGCAAGGCGGCGCATAGAAACCTCTGCTTGAGCTCGGCTGTAGCTCGGCTGTATCTCGTCGCCAGCCCTCCCGCTCCCCCCCGCAAGGTGGCGGAGCTGTTCGAAGCCAAGTTTCTCGAGAAGACGGCGCGAGAGATGGCCGAGATGCGGCCATGATAGAGCCGTATCTCTCTTCACAGCTCGGTCGCGTGAGCAGGCGCTGGAGTGGGAGGCGGAGCTCGAGGCCGCCGGTCTTCCGTGCGCTGTAATCCAGACGTGGGAGGCGTGGATGCGCGACCCCGACGCTCGCGCTGCGCGCATCTTTGCGGAGGTGGGAGGGGAGGTGCAGCTGGGGCGCGCCGCGTGGGTCAAGTCGGCAGGCATCGACCTCGGCTAGATCTCGGCTCCACTTCGGCTACACCTCGGCCATATCTCGGCCCATCCTTGGCAGGCGAGTACCCAGACTTGCAGCCGATGGTGGATGGTGCGGCTGCCGTCGCGCGGGACCGAGCCGCGCCTCCGCCCGCCGCCACCGCCCCTCCGAGGCAGCGCCCTCTCGAGGGTTACGTGATCTGCGACTTCGCGAACGTCCTCGCCCCGAGTTGCCTGCGCCGCGCTGCCGCAGGAGCGGCGTCTCCTCACAAGTCGGCTGTGAGCAGGTTATCGCAGGGCCGGCGTGTGGGCGCATGCTCGCCGAGCTCGGAGCGACCGTCTACAAGCTCGGTCCGGGCGTGCCGCAGCATGGCTCCATCCGCGCGTCGTTGCAGTTGCACCAGTGGCCGTCTCCTTGAGCCGAGCCTTCTCCCGTAGGGCCGATGGTGATGATGGTGTGGCAGGCGGAGCTGCATCAAGGGAAGCATTCGATCATCCTCGACGCGAAAAAGGTAGAGGCGCGTGAGGTGATCCAGCGGGCGATCAAGGCGGCGGACGTGGTCTTGCTGAACAAGATGGACAACCAGCTCGTCAGCTTGGGACTGAACCGCGAAGCCCTCGACGTCGCCAACCGAAAGGTGATCCCGCGGCAGCTCAAGCCACGGCTGCACCTCGGCTGCACCTCGGCTGCACCTCAGCTGCACCTCGGCTGCACCTCGGCTGCACCTCGGCTGCACCTCGGCTGCACCTCGGCTGCACCTCGGCTGCACCTCGGCTGCACCTCGGCTGCACCTCAGCTGCACCTCGGCTGCACCTCGGCTGCACCTCGGCTGCACCTCGGCTTCATCTCCGGAAGGCGATCTTGCTGCAGCTCAAATCGCACCAAGGGGAGCGGTACACGCGCAAGAGCAACTGGAACGGGCGGCCCCCTCTCCCGCGCCGCAAGCGTGGCGGCAGGTGCGGCCCCTTGACACGCGGACCCGGCGTGAGCAGGTACGACCCCGCGCTGCAGGGCAAGACCGGGCTGATGACGCGCTTCGGGCCGCACGACCCCGCCGCCGTCGCTCGGGAGGGCGCGGGCGCGGGCGTGCCCAATTTCCACGGCGTCGCCTCGTGTGTCGACTACCTCACCGGGTCCTGCCCGGGCCGGCCTCCCGGCACCTCCGCTGCCCCTCCGCCGCACCGCTGCCCCTCCAATGATGTAGGTACATGGCGGCGTGGGCCGGACTCGCCGCGCTCTACTCACGAGAGGTGCGGGGCGGGGAGCAGGGCGACTGGGCGGTGACCTCGCTCGCGGTGTGCGCGAGCCTCACCCAGCTGACGCTGCAGCGTGGCGAGCCGCCGCCGTCGGCGGTCGGGCATGACGCGACGGGCATGACGCCGCACAAGCGCGTCTTCCCCGTGGCGGGCGGGAGGTTCGTCTACGGACAGGCGCCCGAGGCGTGCGACGTGCGCGAGCTAGCGGCGACGCTCTCCTCACTGGAGAGCGACGCCGCCATCGCGCACTTTGAGAACGCGCTGGGAGGCGCGCTCGCGGTGCCCGTCCTCACGGTGCAGGAGATCGCTGCCCTCTGCTCTGACGGCGGGAGCAAGACAGCCAACTTCACGCGCAAGCGAGGCGAGTCCGGGTGGGAGGTGGAGACCTGGGAGCCCACCTGGTTCTGCTTCGACGGGGCGCCGCTCAGCTGCGCCCGGCCGCCCGCCTTCGCCGGCGCTGACGCGCCGCAGGTCCTCGCGGCGCTCGGTTACTCGCCAGGCGAGGTCCTCGGCCTGAAGCAGTCACGCGCGGTCGTGCCAACCTCCTGGTACGCGTGGGCCGACGAGCCGCCTCGCGAGCCGTTGTCCAGCCCCGTCCCTCCCTCCGTGACAGCAGCACACAACGTCCCGGCTAGGGACCTGGAGTTGCTAAAGGAGGGGCTGGAGTGAGGGTTGGACTAGAGGGAATTAGATGGAGCGTCGGGGCATGTGCATGAGTACAGTACGTCACACAATTTGGCATTTGTCTCATTAGAGATACTATAGGCTTGCAAACGTACTGTCTTTTTGTTGAGAGATCAGCATGTGCATGTGCGCAATCCAAATCACTTTCATGGCTGCCCCCTCTTGTTTTCCTGTTTTCCAAAACGCCCGGGCCCGCCCGCGGCCTTGGGCGGCCCCGGCCCCCGCAGATCCAGAGAGCTGGTGAGATCAAAACGCTCGGCCCCCGGAGGGGGTCGGGCGACGGGCGTGAACAAGGGTCACTTCGAAGGGTGAACTCTAATCTGCTGTGAAAAAGAAGCATGCGTGCGCGCGCGTCCGACGGTCGAGGAGTCGAGAGGCCACCACCACCCACTCAAAAATAAAATATTCTTCAAGCTCCCCCTCCGAGACTAGAGAGACAGAACACACCCAGGAGAGATGGGACTGCCCCCCGCCCCCACTTGCCCTGACTGCACAGGATAGCGTGTCCACCACGCACTCAAGTACGGGCAGGGAGGCGCTTTTCAGCCTTGCCCTCTCGCCGGCCCTTCCCGACCGGGCTCCGCGGGGTCGGCCAGACGACCAACCGAGAGGTTTCGAGCTTAGCCTCGAGGGCGCGACGCGCGCGTTTCTTTTCGTATTACTAAATTCTCACACGTCCAACATTACATAGTACACATCAGATGTCTCGTCGCCCACCATAGAACGCTGCAAGGGCTCTAGGCTCGCAGCGCGGCTCTCTACTCAGAAAGAACAATGTCCACACAAGCCCCAGAGCCGACCGCAATCAGAGCAGAGACGCACCGAAAACACCCGACCTCACCACTTCCCCTGCGAGATCTTTCGCCACGGCGACCCGAGCCGCGACGACGTCGGGAGTACGCCCACGCTTTCCCTCTCGGGGCGCCGGCGGACGAGGCGGGAGGCACCTTCGAACAGCGCAAACAGGGCAAAGCCTAGGATGAGCACCGCGCCGGCCACCCGCACGGGGCGCGCGCTCGACGGCGTCGAGTGTGCGGCTTTAACAGCCTGCTGCAAGCTCGGCGTCGCGTCGGCTCCATTGACAGCAGCTATGTGCCAGGCAGGCACGGGCTCCTTGTCGGGGTGATCCAGCAAGGCTCGCT